AAAGACATCAAAGGTCTGGTTTTGGAGAAGAGCCTCAGAATTTTCTCTGGGACAGGGAAGGATTTCAGAGAGTGGATCTTTCTGCCTGGGAGCAGACTTCCCTGCTTTCGCTGGAAGAATTTCAATCTATTCTCTGATCCCTGGAATAATCTCCCAGCAATTGCAACAGAAGGATTGCAACAAATCAGGTCCACTTGGGTATAAATTCTTAAGTTCAGGATGCTTCTGCCTAGTGTTGGGTCTTTGTCATTTTATCACCTTTCAGCTTTGTTTCCATTTGAAGCATTTTCTTCAGATGTAATGAAAATCATAATGCAGCTTTACTTATTTAAATATGGCACATTATATGAAATTTGACTAAATGGAGTGATAGACAATGGAAATACACGACGTTAGCAACTGGGCCACCATAGATAGGCCAGAATCCTCCATGGCTGATGTTGTTCATCACCACATCTTTCCTTTTCTCTTTTTATTTTTAAATTATATTATACTCAGCTGGTGGCCCACCAAAATGTACCTTGCTATTTTTACAACAACTAATTATTCAATTTTATTCCTGCAGTCATATCATAAGGGTTAAGTAGTTATAAAGCGTGTAGAGGATTGGGAGAAGAAGAGGAAGAAGATAACCTATTGTAAAATGCACAACAGAAACTGTAAACTTAGTTGCAGAGGGATCCCGCTATAACACCATTATGTTTGGGAACTAAAGTTATATTGACTGGGTGCTCTTGTTAAAATAATCAATTGTCTAAAAATTTGAAGACCTCCATTATTAACAAAGTTGCATACAAAATGCATTGCTGAAGACTGATAACCTATAATATGACCCATGTATCAAAGTAGAAAATGCTGGAGGTCCCATCTTTTTTTTTTCCAATAGGCTTCTTCATGGAACCTACCATATTTACTAATGTTGAGGATGATATGCATATTGCCCATGAAGAATCCTTTGGGCCAGTAATGATCATTTCCAAGTTCAAAGATGGGTATGTCCTGCTCTAATTAATGCTGTTGTTGTTACAAGCTTTTCAAGCAATGGATCCTTGCAATTAATAATCATATGTAGAAGACAAAGTGAACCTGCTTCACTCCTTTTCTATGTTGCAATCTACACATTGGAGAAGAACTTCTGTGAAATAGGTTCCTCCCCTAATTTGGAATCCTGTATAATAACTACTGATGGTCTCTCCCAGTCTATGGCCATAGGAATCATGCAATTGTTAATTTTGTGGATTAAATGTCATTGCTATATCCCCTGTTGATACATTCTAGCCAAGTCTCTAGAATACTTCATAAAAATACCAGAAAGAGGTTGGGTTCACAGGTGGTACTAAACAATGTTTTGTTTAAACCATATTTTACTCAATTACACCACAGTGGCTGGGTTTGCAACTCCAGAAAGCTATAGAAAATTATTTACAAACCACAATTCCTAAACTATATGCTAAACGAAACTAATTTTATTATGGCTTAGTACAATACAAGAACCCAATGTATGCAACAAAATCTGAGGCTGAAAAACAATATGGACACCTAGATTTAGCATCTCTGGTATGTTTTATGCTGTCTATATGTTAGATGTTTCTTTATTGCCATAGAGATGTTGATGGAGTGTTAGAACGAGCCAACAGAACAGAATATGGTTTGGCTTCAGGTGTTTTCACCAAAGACATAAGCAAAGCACTGTATGTCAGTGACAAACTGGAAGCTGGAACTGTTTTTATTAACACCTATAACAAAACTGATGTGGCAGTACCATTTGGTGGATTCAAGCAGTCTGGTTTTGGAAAAGATTTAGGTAAGTGCGTGTTTTCCTCTAGACTTGCAATTATGTTTACCAAGTGACATATATCAAAGATGGGAAACATCACCTTCCAGAACTTGTGGCTCCTATTCTCAGTCAACATGGCCAGCTTTTGTAGTGTAATGACAAATGGATTGCTTTAGACTGCCTGTCCTCTTGTACAGTATGATTTTTGTAATGGAGCAATTTTCAAAATGCATTTGAAAGCAGAGTGAATTAGAATTTTGGAAGCTGTGCTATTTTACTGTTAAAATTAGAACACACATCCAGTACTGTAAATTGCAGCCTCAGCAGGTGATGGTGCCTGACAATCCTGTGTGAAAAGAACGTGCAATTTAGAACCTGCTGCAAAATGCAGGGTTCCTTTAGAATAGAGGCAGGCAATCTTTTAACATCTTAAGCTGTACTTTTAAAAAATAAAATGGTTTTGGTCCCTGGAGGAGGTGTAAGGCTGTAATTCCACCTATTATGTCATCCCCCTCCCCAGCCAAACAGGCTTAATGATCCAGCGGAAAGCACCTTCTCAGAAGGGTGTGGGGGAGTTCAGACAAGTGCAAAAATAGGGTCTGGAGAGGCCACATTGGTCCAGGGACTATTGAGTGCCTACCTTTGCTTTGAATTTCAGAGCTTGAAATCCTGTAGTATCTGTTTCAGCAATTATTTAATGGCCACATTTTTATCAGGCAATTGTTAATTGCCCACTTTATGTATCATTGTATAACAGGAAATCTAGACAGATAGTACTAAGGTTTTTTTGTAATATGCACCATCTTCTAGCCATGTCCCCAGGGCACCTCCCACCTGCCTGATCTTCCCAGAGCCTTCCCCTTCTCATCCTCCCCCTCCAGGAACTCAAACATGCAACGTGCACATATCCCATTGGCCTGCCCAGCCTTCCTCTCCCTGCCCACCTCAACTGGACCTTCAATCTTTAGTGTGCATAGAAGTCTACCTACTCTTTAGGGGAAGAAAGACTACTATCAAGACTCCTTCCCCAAATTATTTTGGGTTTCTATGCAGATTAAAAAAAATTGTCCCTAGTATTGCATTTTTGCTTGCTTTTTACAAACACTTCCATTGTGAGGAACTTTGAATCCTTGGAGACTCCAACTATTGCAGACTTTCTTATTCCTTTTAGGTGAAGAAGCTCTTAATGAGTACCTGAGAACAAAAGCTGTAACTGTGGAATATTAAGCAGCTCAGCCAAGAAGCCCCATTTCTTCCTCTGACCCAAGGCAACTACAGGATTACAACGGAAAAAGTAGAAAATGCTTCCTGACATGAACATGCAAGCCAGTGTCTCAGTGCAATGAGCCAATTAAGAACATTTGCATTTATTCACAGTAGGATTCATCAGTGGACTTCAGTACTTGCTACGGATTAATCATAAAGTATTTTCTCCTGTAGCTGTAATGTTCTCCTCCATCTACAGTTGCTGACATTTAGGGCTATCTGAAGGTGAGATGGGAATCTAGTAACCATCAAACTTCTGACACTCTTAACTCCACAGTGAACCCTTTACTTAAGTGAGAAACATGCTACAAACTTTTATTTGTCCGCAGTAGCCATGTGGGTCTTGGTCACATTATACCAGCATCATGCTTTTTTCCTGCAATAGATTTAGCATATTTTAACTAGCTCAGAAAAGCAGTTCACCATAAACATTGTTTATACACCCAAGGAAGTGCACTTATTATGAATCTGTACAATAAAGAATTGAACATCTGTGTTAGCCCCTGAATTAAAAAGTTGTAGAACTATTTTATACAGTACTGTAATCTGTTTGCCAATGAGCTGTATGTAATCTATAATTGTGGATGCCAATTATATTAAATAAATGCTTTTTGGATGTCCTATAATATTTAATGACCTAGAATTGCATCTGTAAGAGAATCTCTCTCGCTCTCTCACACATACACAATACTCTAAAGCATATAGTACTGTAGTACATATTAACTTTTGACTTAGGAAAAAGTCTGAACACAACCATTGTGAATGATTCAATAAAACATGATTAAAACAAACCATGGATTAATGCAATGTGTGAACACAACCATGTCAGGTCTTGAGCGTCTTTACTACTTGCAACTGCAAAATACAGTCGTGTGAAAAAGAAAGTA